AACTGCGGAGAAGGGGGGGGGTGGAGGTCATGACGTAAAACCGCGAAAGAGGCGTCCCGATTGGCCGCGGGGACCTCGCGCGCGCACTACTGCGACCCCCCTCCCTCTGCACACACGTGTGTGCCGGTGCGGCGGTGGTGGTCGCGGTGGTCGCGGCGGCGGCGCTCCCACGTGGCGGCCCGGCGGCTGCGGCGGCGGCGGTTATAGAGCCGTGCATCGGCGTCCTGGGCTCGGGTCGAGAGGGTTTCGTGATTTGGCCTGGCCCGCCACGCCACGCCACGCCATAGTGTGGTCTAGCGTCGGCCCGGCCAGGCCAGGCCCGCGTCGCCGCCGCCGCCGCTGTCAGACTCCGTCCGTCGCGCCGCCAGGTCGTGTCACCGCTCGTGTCGTGCCGCCGCAGCGTCCCTCGCCGCCTTCCTGCTGCTGCTGCTCGTCCGCGACCTCCCCAACAGCGGGCCCCGAGACCACGGCACGACCTCCCGGACGGCGGCAGCGACGGCGACCCACCTCCTTCATCACCCACAAGTAATGAGCGCTCACTGGTCGTCGCGGAGGGTGTGGGGATGTGCGGCGTGTCGTCCGCGCGATGCCAGGACGGCGACCTGGAGGCGACGCCAGGTGCGCGACAGGGAGGGTGATGGCGCCCTGAGCCAGCTGCCGCTGCGTGTGACCGTGCTGCAGCTGTCCCCCAAGGCTGTGCGGGCTGTGCCCCTCGGGGGTGGCGGTTGCCGGGCGCGCCCCCCAGAGGGGTGGCCTAGCCTGATATCAGGCCCACCGCCGTTATCGGGGAGGTCCTCCAGGACGCCGCCGAGGCCGCCGCACCGCCACTGCCCGGTCAACAAGCGTCACCACCACGCCTCTCTGGTGACGCTTCCCCTGGCGCCATAAGTGACTGGCAAGTTTTCAGTAACTCGACCTCATGGGGAGGCCGTTCCTTTCGGCCTAGCAGTCGGTTCGGCGGCGGCGGTCGCCGCGGTTCGGAGGTACTTATCAATAGTCTTACGGTCGGCCGCGTGCGACGCACAGCTGACGCCCCCCTCCCCTCCCCTTTCCCCCAGCCCCTCGCCGCCGTGTCACAAATGTGCGAGGATGCGGGGAAAAAAGGGGGATTGCAGACCTGTATGCGTTGCACGCGGGAAGGAGTCACCTTCACACACAAAAATGTCGAAAATGCTCGCTTTGACTCACTCGGCGGCGCCTACCAGTGCGATTATTTTGTTTTGATTGCTTGTATCCGATTAACGTCGTGGTTTTGGCTCCGAGCGTATTCACCGTCAGCAAATGACGCGGCTAGAACAACGCTCACGCTTGTTCGCACGCCTTTTGCGTTTGTTCTTGCCTTACCTTCCGGAAACCGCGCGTGCGCGCGATGGAACTTTCCGCTCGGGTACAAGTCGTTAAACTCTTCCCTCATGGGGTGGATCGCGCGCACGTGACCGGTGACAGTGCGATTGTGTCTGTAGGGTCTTCCGAGCGGCAGCGTCCCTTCCCGGCGATCGCGGACCGGTGCGAAACGAACTGCAAACGGACCGGGGGGAGGCCACGGGAAAGGGGAGGGGGGGGGGCAATATTGTGCAATACTTCGTCAAAGCAAGGTGCAATACTTCGTCAACTAGGTGCAATCCGATCCCTTGAAGATGCAGAGCGTCTGACGTCAGTTTCCCAATACCACCTGAGGTTCCGTGATCCACCGCGGGCACATAAGGTTATCGCTCGACGCTGAGCGCAGCGACCGCTGTTGTCTTTCTGATCAAAGATTAAAAAACATTCGACGCGATTAAGTACTCTGTTCGTTATCGGAAGGTGCGGTATTTCCTTCCCAAACCTTAAAAATTTGCTTTTTCAAGTCGTTTGTTAAGAGAACTAGAAAACAATGAAAGAGAAAGACACTTATTTCTTAAATGGAAAAATACAGGTCCCATGCAGTATACTCTTTGCCTTACCAGGAAAAGAACTTTTCCTGTTTTGTTCTTGCCATATTGTGCACGTTGAGTGACTTGATGACTCGCCAAACAGAGGGCCCTTACGCTGGCTCCTGTCACCTCCTCCGCCTACCTCCTTTTGAATTCATTCCTCTAGCTCATTAGCCTCGAACTGTTTGTTCGGTGGCCCCTACCGATCACATTAGGCAGCGGGTGTAGTTAAGCGTAAGCCCGCTTGTCCGCAGGAGATTCGCTAAATGTCACGATATCCAAATAATGCAACCAGGCTTCGGGAGGACATTTAATTTGTCAGTGAAAGA